TTGCCGGCTGGGCTTAAACCACAACAGTCTGTTAAAATAATTGGTGAATGAATGACCATAACAGTAGGTACTACAGAGTGTGATGCAACCATATGTTGATGCTATGAGAACATAGATTCAGCAGGTACTTGTTCCAAAGCCAACCCTGGGAGTCTGTGGAACATTCTTTTTTACATGTACAACAGAAAAGGTAGCAGTCGTGTTTCCTGTGTTAGAGGGGATCAGTGGGAGAGGAAAGGCAGGCAGCCATCCAACCACAAGTGTCCATGATGGTAAACCAGACACATTTTCTTTTGCAATATCCATATCAAAAAGACATGATGAGACTTTCTAGAGCAAGAATCTATGATGGGTGAGAATCAAAAGGATAAGTACTCTGCCTTAAACAGATTATGGGAGATTTTTTGTGTTTCCATTGATTATTTGACATCAGAGGGGAGTCATCTTCCAATAATACTGGTGTGCTTATGTACACAACTTTGAAATGCATTCCACTTACATGTGCTGTATATAGTAATTAACTTTCAGATTGAGACTAATCAGGCCTAAATTCCCAGCTTGGTATAGATGATACAATTCTATAAGAAGTGAAGAACTGACTTTTGTCCCTCTTCCGCTTTCACCCTGCATTTACTTCTTTCTTATACTGGTGTTTTCTGTTGTACACTTCAAAGCACCCCTTCTTTTTGCACTCACTTTCACATTGCTAGACATAATTAATGTTGTAAATCAGGTGGATATGTTGCATCAAAAAGCCCCAGCTTTCAATAAGGTTTTTGTTACAACTCTTAAGAATGACAGCAGCAACTGGTCTGTCTCGGTTACCAGGCTGAAATATATCTGCTGTTTTAACCACAATCACAGTGACTTCAGGCTGGCATTACAAAGTTATTTCTTTGACACACGTAACTTGAAATGTAAGCATTAATGGAAGAACAAAGATCTTACCTGTGAAAGTAGAGCATGTGTTCACTGCAGCAAGGTACCAAGAGACATTCGTCTCAATCCAAATTCACATCAGTAGGCATGTATAAGAAAATATTTGAGTTGGAGATTCTGATTCTTCTAAGAAAATACTGAATTTTGAGTGGCTGCACACCTGCATTAGAAATTCACTTTAGATGACACACTTCATATGCAGTGTTATTTGTCTAACTGCACTGTGTTTACTGCAGGTGTGACAATTACCTTGGCATTCATTGGGGTGTTTTTCTAATAAATACTTTTAAAATTTACTAGGAGCCATACATGGAAGGGGTGAATCCATTCATCAAGAGCAACAAACATCGCATGATCATGTTCTTGGATGAACTGGGGGTAAGTGGATAAGATCTTTAGTGGAAGTTATACAGCAACACTATTTTTTCCACACCTCTTATCAATTAGTCAGAAATGCATTGGCACACACACAGTTTTGAGTGCTTGTAACCGAATACACTTTTCTTAAGCAAATAAATATCTTTTAAAATAAATTTTAAACCAAAAATTCTTATATATAGCTTGTCCTATGGTTTTGACCAGAGATGGAAATTATACTTCTGCTTTAAAAAATGCAGGTTGAACTTCAGTGTGCATTACCAGATGTATCACTGCATCCGTTGTAGATATTGTAGTCTGAAAGTGAACTTCAGTTTACAGCCTTCTTTTACACTGTTACTGTTTTGTGTATGACAGCTGTAGCAGGAGTTACATCCTCACGTTATACATGACTGGTTTTAAACCAAAACTTCATTTTGAAAACCCAGATGAAAAAAATGAGTTGATCTTACTGAACTGATCCCTTAAAAGTCACCTGCAAGACATCTTGGGGTATTTTGATAAGATATAAAATACTCAAATACAAAAAGTAAAAATGAGTGTATTTGGGTAGGTTGCTATATGTCACCTTTTTCTGGTTAAATTGCAACTTCTGCCTATTATGATAGGTCAGTTTCCTTTAAATGACAGGTTTTGCACGAAGGCTCTGAAATCTGATGGTTTGAAAACACGTGCTGGATTAATCTGCTGGTTTAATTACAACATTATTGTTTTATGACCGGTTTAACGAATTGCAGATTTTGCTAGTTTTTTTGTTGCTGCTATTCTCTCAATTTAGACTGGGGGAAAAAGCAGCTGATGGATGGAGAAGTGGAGACCTCATAGCAGCGTTCCAATATCCAAAGGGGGCCTACAAGGGTGCTGGAGAGGGACTTTTCATCAGGGACTGTAGCGATAGGACAAGGAGTAACAGGTTCAAACTAAAACAGGGGAAGTTCAGGTTAGATACAAAGAAGTTCTTCCCTGTGAGGGTGTACTGTATGATTCTGTGATCCACCCTCGTTTAAGGGAAGGCTGTGAATCGCTGTATGTGGTCAGCTCGGTGGTGGTCTAGTAATGCCAGATCTTCTAGTAAGAGCCCTTCTAGCAGGAGCAGAAACTGATGTGCACATTATTCATAGAAGAAAGATGGAGACACAGCTGGAGAGACTAACATCACAGTAGGTGTTTGTGGTGCACAACATCAGCAGCAGAGCTGTGGAGCTGTAACTTACCCATGCACGCCCTAAATCTCCTCTTTGCCTTTTGCTGTTGAAGAACGTTCCTGAGCTTCCAGACACTACCGAACACTCAAGGACTGACCTGTCTCGTGACCTGGCAGCCTTGCATGAGATCTGCGTGGCACACTCGGATGAGCTCCGGACACTCAGTAACGAGCGAGGTGTGATGCAGGTAAGTAGCAGTGTCTGACAAATGAGTCACGGCGGGTACAGACAGCGTGTCCAGAGCTACTCCATAGTGCCAGGACTCTTCTGTAGTGTCACTTGGACTTGACAAATGTTTCGAAACTTGTGCCTTTCACCAGGAGGTTGTTAGTTGTGAAGGTAGACGCTTAGTCCATAGTTTTGTTTCTTCATGCAGCAAAACCAAAGAGGGTTTGTTTTTAGTTTCCAGAGGAAGTTTTAGTTTCTACAGGAAGCCTAAACCCACAAAACTACTGTCTCCTGACAGGTTCTCTGGGTCGTTTGTTTTCAGATCTTTTTTTTCCCACTTGGGAACCAAACTTACTTTGGTTAGCTTTCTACAGATACATCATTTCTGATTCCTACCTTTCCAGTACACTTGTTAACAAACCTGGCAAGCGTTTCTCACAAGTGTTAGGAGGACACTATCTTAGCCATAAAGCAGCCAACAGGTCTGTGAATGGAAAGACAAGAATTGGCAACGCTGTTTTTTTTGAAGGTAATGTCTTACTGACTTTCAAATTGGCTGTTTCCTTTTTTTATAATTGTTTTTTCTTGCCCAGAGAAGCTGTGGCTGCCCCATCCCTGGCCGTGTTCAAAGCTGTGTTGGACAGGGCTTGGAGCAACCTGCTCCAGTGGAAGGGGTCCCTGCCCGGGGCAGGGGTTGGGACTGGAGGGCAGAGGCTTGGAACTGGATGAGCTTTGAAGTCCCTTCCAACCCAAACCAGTCTGTGATTTAAACTCCTTAGCAGCAGGTCTGATAGGCTAATGTTGAAGACATTTCTCCAGCACATGACTCTTCTGTCTCCAGTAGCTAACATACGGTTTTATTGACTCTCTTTCCACATGCAGCACGTGCTGAAGAAGCTTTTGGCTATTACCGAACTGCTTCAACAAAAACAGAATCAGTATTGCGTGTCTAACAACATCAGGTAGCAGCCCTCTACCTGAATTCTGCATGGATCCAGCATGTCCAACATGGCGACTCACACCAGTATCACTTTCTTCTTGCTCTTGCCAAAAACAGCACACCCTGTCACATTCCCAGTGATGTGTGAACTATGCAAAAAGAAAAACAAAGATTCTGTTGGTGAATGACAGTACCAGCAGCTTTTTTAAGCTATCTGTGCAGGACATTTGCACTTTTTGGGGTTTTTTTTTTTTTGTTATTTTTTCCATTTGGAAACAGTTTTCACAATCTCTGAGCCTTGGTGTACAGTTCACCTTCTGCAATGAAAATGCTGTGACTGTGTCTTGAACTTTGAAAATCACTTTCAGCACCTCTGATTGCCAAAGTTTCGTTGTCTTGTTGGAAAAGGATCGCCAACTGACATGAAGTGTATTGCTTTGACAGCCACATATAACTGGATAACATTTCTTACTGTAATTTCTGACTGGTTACAATAATTGAGACTTTTGACTGTTTCAAACCACTTTAACTTGTATTTACAGTTTCCAGAATTTGATGTTATGATAGGAACAATCTTTACTGTACACTTTTTATACCATGCTGTTTCTCTTGCTGGAATCATGTCGAAAGAGAATATGCAGAATGGGTCTTGTCAGCTTTATTTTTCTGATGTGCCACTGATTCAGTCTGAATAGTTCTTCCACCAGGAACTGTATATCCAGATAAATCACAATGCTTTTGTAAAATGTTTACAACAGTAAATAATTTGAATTCACTAAGTTTATTGATCGTTGTATCAGACATGCATGCATTCATTAAACCATTTTATAAAATATGTATTGGTCAGTTTTTTGTGTGATAAAAGTCTAGCATAAATATTATTTTTATAAGTGAAAAGACAAGTTTTTTAAAATAAATCAAGCTGCAGATCAACTCTTGATGGAAACTGGCTGTAACTTTGGCTGCTGTGGAAATTTTTTACCATGCCTGCACACGATGCACTTTGAAATGCCCACGAGGTGTCCCTTCTTTAGTGTGAATCCTCCAATAGTGTTACCTTGTCCATGTGCCTTAATGTGTGCATCTCTCACAGGGCAAGAGAGACAATGTTAGATCAGTGTCGTGGATGGAGTCATGCACTTCCCTTACAGGACAGTGATATAAGGAGTGAGTTCAAGTTCAGTGGTAAATGTGACAGTGGTTTAACAATACTCAGTGGCAAGGTGCACTTTAAGTATTTACTGCACAGAGGACAAGGAAGCGTCAGGGAGATCCTCCTGTTGAGTCAGGAGGTGCAGAAAGGACCCCCCTGTATTCCAGACTCCTCCTTGGGAAGGAGTTGAAGTGTGGCTTAACCCAGACTTAGTTCCAGACTTGGTCAATGGTTTATGTTTAAAGGATTACATGTGCACAATCAATCTCTCCTGTCCCTTAGCTGAGGTTTTAATAGTTCCAGTGTGCTTATTCCTAATTCACTTGCTGAGCATCTGAAGCAGCAAGGAACCTCTTTACCTTGAACATTGACCCCAAAAGGTGCCTCTACTCAAGGAGAGATCCTGGCATGCTCAACAGGCCCTGGGCTGTCCACTGTGGCCATTTATGTTATGGAGTCCGTTTGTAATGGGCTCCATAACAAATGCAGTGAGATAACTTGATTCATAGTCACATTTTCATACCAGACGTATCCCAGCTGGTGTGTGCTCAACTCACTGCTGAGCCAGAGGTACAGCCCTGAACTATGGTGGTGGTTACTGTCTCTGGCTGGGTGCAACCACCATGACCAACACTGGTGGCTGTTGCTTAAGCAGAAGAAAGGAGCAAGCTGCCACTAACTGTTAAGATCCTAAAATAGGGGGTAAATTCTGGGGGTATTTCAGCATCAATTCATCATTTGTAACTCCTCTAGGCAGTGATACAGTCAGGAATAAAAGGATGCTGAGATTGACGTACAAGGCAGTTGTGTAACATGAACACAGTTGTTACACCTTCAGAACAACCGCAGTATCTCCTGCCTACAAGAACTGCTTTTTCCACTCTTAAGTCACGTAGGCTTTCTCTTTGGGTCTCTGCTGCAAGGTCACTGCATGTCCTCAGCCTGCAGCGGGCCTTTGTGAGGCTGCCCAAGTCCATGTGGTCCTGTAGCTGAGGGTTCCTGGTCTTCACACTTGGCAGAGAGGTAGTACAAGATCTAGGTGCTACTGAATTGTTTCTCAGATCATCCCATAAGGCCACGGCTTAACCTGTCACTGTCATTCGTGTAATAAACTGCACCTCAGAGGAAAGAAAAGGTAATTTAACAACCTTGTTGTCCCTGTGTACACCTCCCAGTTTGCAGCATATTCTGTGTGATGAAGTAGTGCATACTCTGGTCCCAGCCGGTTCAGAACCTCAGCACGTGACTTCAGCTGTGTTCAGTCACACTTCCTCCCGTGGATGACAAGAGTGTTATATGAAAGGTGCAAGACATCGTGGAATGAAGCTGTGATGGCTGCGTTCCTTCCCTCACCAGTCAGCCGGTAGCCCAGGTACAGAAGGATGTGTCAAAACCAGAGTGGCTGAATGCAGGTGGTAGGTTGTAGGCAGTGTAAAAATACAAACTGTGAGAACAGATTTGTCTGGCTATGTGCCCATTACATACACACTGACAAGAATGGAACTGGTAAACTCCCAATGCTACACTTACTTAGGTGTGGGGTTTGGAACTGTTTCATGTTCTAAAATGGGAGTACTAAAAGGAAATAGACTTTGCTGTAGATGTGGAAGACATCTAACTGCTTAGGAGGACTTCAAAAATACTCTTTTCAGTTACCATGAGGTAAGGTAAGCCACAGTAACCCCATCTAAGATCACAACTGTCAAGTCAGAGGTGTGTTTATGACTTCCCGTACTGGAAAGTATGTTGCTGCAATCTCTCAGTGCATGTAAGCGCTTCAAAGGTACCAAGTGTTAAAGATACAGCTGTATTCATTCAGCTGCTCCAACAACAGGCTTGGGAAGAGGGGAGCAGACCCTGCTCTAAAGCACAGATGGGCCTGTTGTCAGATCTGTCTCCTGGCTTGTGTTTATCCACCTCAATAAATGCCCAGTTGAAAATCAGCTACTGCCACGCTGAAGTCACCTCAAAACTGTTCCTAAACCAAAAATCTTCCGAAGTGTCAGATCCCTTAAAGCAAACAAGTCTTACAGCAAACAGGTCGAAGGAGGTGATCCTGCCTCTCTGCTCTCATGAGACCCCCCCTTAGAGTATTGTGTGCAGTTCTGGTGCCCTCAACACAAGAAGGACACAGAGCTGTTGGAACAGCTCCAGAGGAGGTCCATGAGGATGATAAGAGAGCTGGAGCCCCTCCCGTATGAAGACAGGCCGAGAAATCTGGGAGCTGTTGAGCCTGGAGAAGAGAAGCTGTGTGGAGACCTCATAGCAGCCTTCCAGTATCTGAAAGGGGCCTATAATGATGCTGGGGACGGACTCTCCATTAGGGACTGTAGTGGTAGGACAAGGGCTAACGGCTTCAAACTTAAACAGGGAAAGTTCAGGTTAGATCTTAGGCAGAAGTTCTTCCCTGTGAGGGTGCTGAGGCCCTGGCACAGGTTGCCCAGAGAAGCTGTGGCTGCCCCATCCCTGGCAGCATTCAAGGCCAGGTTGGACGGGGCTTGGAGCAACCTGGTCTAGTGGAAGGTGTCTGCCCATGGCAGGGGGCTGGAAATGGATGACCTTTAAGGTCCCTTCCAGCCCAAACCAGGCTGATTCTATGATTCTTACTACATGTGACCTTGAATAGATGAAGGTTTAATGGAATTAATTACTTTAGTGAATTAAAATGCTTTATTGCAGTTAAAAACCACCAGAATAAATACCTCATGAGAGAGAGTAAGGAATCTGTGGCAGACAGGTTCGCACAACACTTCAGTTTCTGCCGTGGTCAGATTCCATCTTTCTTCAAGGTTACACCGAGTCCACAAAATCATCATCAGTCCACTCTTCCTAATGGAAGGGAAAACAGCAACACCTTGAGCAATGTGTAAATTCAGTGTATTTTACACTACCGTTGGCCAGGCAGCATGTAAATGGAGGTGCACAGCACATGCTGCCACAGAATCTTCTACTAGAAGTTAAAGACCATTCAAGTAGCACAGGTGATTTCACAACTCTGAACTTTGCCTGCTATCAGTAACAGACTTGAACAGCAATGTCAGACTGATCTGAAGCATAGCACTTCCCCACATGACTTGGTAGACCTGCCAGTTTCTGTCAGGATGCTCCTGTTAGGCTGCTTGGCCCTGCTTGTCTTGCAGGCTCCTTTCTACTGCCACCCAGGTAGCAGCTGCCAGTCCTGGTTAACTGACAAAGCTAGCTCAAGCTGGAAATGAGGAGCCTGCACAGAAGCCACCCGATGAAACGCATGTTTGTGAAGATCCCCTTCAGATTCTCATAACATGCCTCACCTAAGGTCGTGGACAAGAACTGCTGAATGACACGAAAGGTATTTCCTTTCCTGAGACTCCCCACAATCTCAATTCCTGCTCAGACTTGCTCCCACTGCTAAATGGGAGTGCAGTTAAAAGTGTTGCTCTAAGTATGCCCTAATCTGTTGTGAGACTCCAATTAAGTTTTGATTCCTGGGTTAATTTAAAGTGTTTCCTGCATGCCTCTCCCAAGCAGTTCTATCCAGCATGCTCCAATGTCTTCTGTAGGGACTAAAACAGTAATAACAGTCAAGTAAATATATCAAGGGGAAGATTCTTCTTTTTTTAATATTTATTTTAGCTATTAACAGCTAATTCCAGAACACAGGACTGAAAGCGTCCTGGAACTACACCCTACTTCTTGCTTCTGCTATGGTCTTTATGCCCAGGATTTAATACCTAATAGAAACATTCCATTAACAAAAAAAGGACTAAAAAAATATTTTAACTAGTGGCAATGAAGCCCTTTAAACTTAAAGCTAGTTATCACAGATTGGTTTGGGTTAGAAAGGACCTTAAAGCTCACCCTGTTCCAACTGCCTGCCATAGGCAGACACCTTCCACTTGAGCAGGTTGCTCCAAACCCCGTCCAACCTGGCCTTGAGCACTGCCAGGGATGGGGCAGCCACAGCTTCTCTGGGCAACCTGTGCCAGGGCCTCAGCACCCTCACAGGGAAGAAAAATCCATGCCTACTCTTTAAAATCACAGGGATAGAACCACTTTAGCAGCTGCCCATTTCAGCATCTGTACGAAGTTTAGCTCATGCTTCATGAAGGACAACAATGTAGAGATTTTCACAAGAGCTCGTATTTCAGCCTCTTCCTAGTATCTGGTGGGGTTTATGGCTTCACCACTTTTATGGCAGCTGAGTCAGCCATGCTCAACTGCTAGCCTGTGTGTTTCTTCTATCATTTCAAATTGATAAGCTTTCCATACCAGTTACAGCCTTGACATCGATATCAACTTCAGCTGTAAACAATTAAATCAAGAAACAAAATCTTACAAATAGATTAGAACTGATTGTTCACTTGCATACCACAGCCTAATTAGTTAAAGAAATACATACATCATTATTATCAGCTAACTACAGCATTAGTGAAGTCTCAAGGCTTAAGCAGTTCACAGACACTACAAGCTTTCAAAAGTTAAGCACGCTTTCTCCTTTATGTCGTGGCCAGCCCACATCTGCTCTTGTATATGACAGTTACTCAGAAATGAAATTATACAAGTTCAAACCCTTCGCAGTTCAGATACATAAATGTTTAAAAATCCTAAGTTTCAGGATCTGTTAACACAGTGCAAGAGTTTATCATGAAGTGCTGTAGGCGAATTTATCAAACCAGTTTATTTCTTTGAAAAAAGGATTGTGAATGTATGTTTATTAAAAAAAAACCCCAATACAACAATAACAAAACACACCAACAAACAAAAATACAAAGTGCTTCAAGCTGTAGCAGCATAACTAGAATAAGTCAACCTTTAAATTAAACTGGGCAGGGAAGAAGCAAGTCTCCAGAGCTCAGCAGAATCTGTTCTCTCAGTCCTTTTGTCAGAGATTGAAAAGTTACGGAAGTGAAAATAGACATCCTGTATTTTATGTTAACAGACAGCTCTCTTCAGCTGTTAGCAAGTTTTTCTAAATGCCATACGTAAAGTGTCCTAGACCATCAAGATGGACAACATCTTCAGTATCAAGAGAAGTCCAGTTAAAAACAGTTCTTCACAAAGCTCCACCAGAATGCATTCTCTAGAGCTTCCAGTCAATGCTACAAATGAAAGCTCTGAAAAGTGTTCAGGTTAGCTCTGAAGGATTAATTCTGCTTTCATCTGTTGAGCCGCTCTCCTCAGTCTATCTCCACCTTATTTATATTTGTTCTTATAACCTGGGGTACTATTTACCCAGCTGTAATTTATGCAAGCATTGATAGCAAATTGGCTGACGTAGAAATTCAGTCCAGCAGCTGACTTCTGCATTGTGCAAGAAGCCAAATAAAGCATTGAAAACAGTTTCAGAAATACTGGCCAGCAAAATAAAAAAAAGCAACACACAAAACTTCCTTAAAAAAGCCTCCTTTGGCTTTATTCCAGCATATATTCATTTATTTCGCCCATAATTGAGTTTCCACCTGTAAAGCTGGAATTTCCCCACAAGTGTTCAGTTCCTGGCTTTCCAAAAACTCCTTTCATCGCAGCACTCCAAACCTCAGTTTCACAGCTATTCCCCCTCACTGGCATCATGGGAGTTTCACCTGCTGGAAGTACAAAGCTTGATGTTGTTCTGTGGTTTGTTAAAATGCTTTCGAAGTACAGAAAACAGCAGGAAGGATGGCCTGCATGTTCCCTCTCCTCCCTAGTTATTTATTTAAGAACCGTCCTAAGCACAGGATGGTATTCTGTCTGAACAACACATAAAAGAATATTAATGGATATAGAAGTTTGGCTCAGTAGCTGTGTTGCTTTTGTCATATCAGTTAAGCGTGGGAAAAAAGTACAATTTTTTTACTGACCTCGTCCATTTTAGGTTTCTTTGCAACATATTCATCATCTTCATAACCTTTCCTCTTCTTCCTAACCCCCAAGCAGAAAAAATTTTTATAAGTAAGTCAAAGTCTCCTTATCTGGCCACAAAATTAAGATTATGGACCTATCTGTAACATAAAAACCCTCCAAAGATTCTAGCAGCCTGCTAGAAGTTCACACTGGGCACTAACGTGAAAAGGACACAAAAGAAAATCAGGAAGTCCTTGCCATCATCATAAGTCTTAAGGAAACATTAACCCTTTAGACAATTCTTGTTTTAACCATGTGATTTTAAAGCCCTTGATTCTCATTATCTATGATGTCAAGTGGGCAGACCTTAGAAGCCACCAGGGTTTCAAATTCTGTTACAAAATAATCAGTATTGGAGCTTGCAAATTATTTTGTGTAAATCAGCACAAAAGAAGTATTTTATGTATTATTGGAAGCATTGCTTTTGAGTCTTGGTTCTCAGCTTCCAGTAGACACTTTCACACACTAAGCATGTCAACAGACATCCTGGTGTGTGTATTTAGATGCTTTCATTCTCAACCACTCACACAGAGAAAATTAATGTTTCTATAACAATAAAAAAGGCAGAAGTTTAACATCAAAGAATAAGTATTTACTTACGAGTTTGTATTAAGTAGAAGATCCAAGCTGTGACATTTCTCCAATTTCTGTTTTAGAGCAGCAACCTCTTCAGACTTTGGCAGCTCATATTTCCTTATAAGATTGTTCATGCCTACAATGGCAACAACACAGCTCTAAGCACATTAAATAATTTCTGCTCTACCTTGTTGTACAGGGTTTGTGTAGAAAGGTTTTGGCAGTGGGGGGCTACAGGAGTGGCTTCTGTGAGAAGCTACTGAAAGCTTCCTGTGCCCGATGAAGCAAATGCAGCCAGCTACAAGAGAGGCCATGGCTGAGCCCATCAGCAACGGTGGCAGTACCTCTGGGAGAACACAGTTACACAGGAGAAAAAAACCTGCACAACTGCAGCTGGAAAAGAGCCATGAGAATATGTGAGAGCAGCAGCCCTGCAGACCCCCAGGTCAGTGCAGAAGGTGGGAAGAGCTGCTCCAGGAGCTGTAGCAGAGGTTCCCCTGCAGTCCGTGGTGCAGATCATGGTGAGGTAGGATAGGCTCCTGCAGCCCAAGGAGGACCCCACTGTAAGGTTTTGAAAGCATCATATGTAGCTTTTAAAACAGAGTCAAAAGACAGTATAGGCAACATGCAACATATTACAAACAGCTGACACAGAAAGCTCACAAAGTAAAAACCTTATGTTTGTCAAAGCAAGCATCACACATTCAAAGTACTAACTTCCCCTAAACTGCTTGCTTACAGAACTTCCCATCCTACGCAGCACTGGAACTTCATAACATCAAAGAGACTTAACTATCATCTTACTCTGAGTATTAGTTTTAAATAACACCAAAGTACAGCAGAAGCAGAGCACAAGAACTATACTGAAACAAGTCATTAGCATCGTTGATCCTGGATTCCCTCAAGGTAAATTATAACAACGTAGAGTTCATGTTTCCCTGCTAACAAGCTTCAAGAAAGCATAGGTATTTTTCACATTCAGCATTGTACCTCCTTCTCGAGAAGATTGCTTTCAGTTTTGTTAAGAATGAAAATTAAATTTACAACTACCCTGCAAGAAACAAGATTTTTTAACCCTATTAACATTTCTCTATTAAACTAATCATACACAGATACTACACAATTTCCTTCCAGCAATCATACGTTTACAGAAGAGCTGCCTTTGGGCTGAAGCTACCTCCCAGAATAATGCAAGTGAAGAGTAAGTGATCTCAGCGCTTCCTTTGCATCTCAGCAATGGAAACCTGAAGACTGAATTTGTTAGCAGGAAGAGAAAGGGAAGAGCATCTTAAGTTTTCTAAATTTCATTTAAATTTATTTGTAGATCCTAGTGATTTGTATGGTGCATTCTCTACTACAGTCAGCTTAATCAAAGGACTGCATTTTTAATGCTATCACCCTGCCATTTTAAATGAGTGCATTAAATAACTATTTGCTTACTGGAAATGTTGTATCCCAGCCTTTTAATTTAATTTAGAAAAGGTAATAATCAGTATACTACATTCCCCATTATCTTAGCTAAACCATGCTGGCATTCCTATTATTTTTATCTATATATTTCTCACACTAGCAAACCTAAACACCTTTTGAAACATCTTTACTGCTACAAAACAGAAGTGAAATATAAATCGTGGCATATCACTTAACACTTACTACTTAGCTTAGAAATGATACCCTCTGGTGGTAGAAGTAGTTATGTGCAGGCTTTTTAATTTTTAAGACATAGTGACTGAAAAAGAGTCATTTCATCCCGACTTACAAAACCCATCACCTAGTTCCCAAAACAAAGTTCTCACTTGTTAGCCAGCTGTGAGCACTTAACTGTCTATAGCACTTATGTTCTCAGAAAAATCAGGCCCTTTGCCTTTCAGTTTCATTTGTTCATATCACTGGAAAGCCTCAGTATTTTCTCCCCTTGCATCCACAAGCCACGTAGTTCATTCTACTCCCATGCTTATCTTACACATGCCCCAAGGTAAAGAAAATCCCTTGAAGCACAACTTTCTGCTTAAAGTTTTTGTTGTTTGTTAAAAGCTGTTTTCCCTCCTTTAGGGATATTGTTTATCACATTTTTCCAATGTTTACTTACATTTCATGCCATCTAGTAGCTTGGCTAAGGTTGTTCTGTCTTCTTTCAGCATAAGACTTTCTGATAAATAACTGCAAAAACAAATGGAAGAGTAGTCCTTATATTAAAGTGTTATAATTATTTGTACCAGCTAACACCAGTTAATAAAATGTGTATTATTCATTACTTACATCTGCTAGAGCTTCATGATTACACTTAGCAAGAACACTTTGGTTATGTAACTGCTATAAAATGGTAAAAAAGCAAATCTGTAATTTGCAACATTCTTCTTCTGTAAGAACATGAAGAAAGTACTCCCCTGCCACGTATGGAATTGGATTTGAGCCTCACCGTGTTAAGTCAACTTACATTAAAGATTCTGTCAAGTGTTTTGCTACCATCATAGTATTGCATAGTATGATTTCTGAAAAGCAAACAGTACAGAAGTAGAGAAGTGTTCAGAGAGACCAACAGACAGCAAAGTTTTCAAAATGAAACAACTTCTTTTGGCAGCTGAAAGCAAAGGCTCAAAGCTGTCTTTTAAGAGTCTGTGCACCCTTTCCTCTTCCCTCAGAGATTCAAACTTCCTTTTAGTAGGAACGTTAATACATACGCATACCACCCGAGTAAAACACCAAAACACATAAGCAACAATCCCCAACAAGACCTGCAACAAGTGAGTGGTTTTATCCCTTCCCAGGGAATGCACTTACGGATAAATTAAATAAATTCAAAGACTCCAAAGTGAATCGACCTGTTCAGTCTGTTTTAACTTCAAACTTACTTCACTACTGACATTATCAGCTGTATCAGTTGCAACTCCCAGATGGATGCACCAGCCACCACAAAGCTGATAGCTGCTCTCTTAACACCAGTGCTCTTGTAGAGCTCAAATTTAAGAGTATTATTTAACCTTGTGCTAATACCAGAACTGAAGATTAATTGAAGCCACCTATCAGCCAGAGCACCTATCTTTTCCTGAAGCCTTCACTTTTTCAAAACTGAACTATACGCTGGAGATCATGGCAGCAACAGGTTTTCAAATCTTGCATGCTTTGTCCCACCTCTGCAGCTGTAGCTACCCACAGGTCCACAACACCTGAGCTGCAGCATTAGCTTCTCTCATACCCAGCATGTCAAACACATAAAACAATAAATGACAAGGTTATAGCAACAGTATTGTCCAGACAGGTGACAAAGACTTGAGTTCTTCACAAATATGCAAAGAAAAAAGTTCACATACCTCAACTCACACACTATCTACAAATTATTATGGTTCTTTTTGTAGGCATGCTTTTCTGAATTTTGGCACAAATAGTATGGAATATACGTTTAGGAATGAGATCCAACAAGTTTCAAGTCACAGTAAAGACCTGAATGTTTTTACACTATTCCAAGAGGACACTTAACTCTGCAGACACTCCTACACTGTCTTGTTCTTTCAGAACTACAGAGATTTGAGATTCATTTACAGCAGATGGAGGTAAAGTATCTTTAAAAAGAACTGTTTGCATTTTGCATCAGCCCTTGTTGCCTGCAGTCATTACACTTTACAAATTGCTCACACGGAGCATTATATGATTAAAACACTCCAGCTACAGCTACTTACAGCAACTACCTCAGCTGTTCTTCTGAAAGGAGTATGTTTTGTCCTTAAAAGGAAAGAAACTAAACAAAACATGCATTTCAGTTACGATATCGAAGTGTTTGACAATGCCTTTGAAAACACCAGTGGCTCAACCAAAGAAAGGAAGAAGGAATTGATGTAAAACAGCACTTACATGCTGTTTTAAAGGGACTGACACCATTTAGTCCATTTCCATTGAAACTGAACACTGTACCAGTGAAATACAACACCCAGTTTCTACATACCTAGTAGCTGTCAGTTCATTGTAATTTCATTTGACTGCAACCTAAGACACCTTAAAAGTCTAAGGTTTTTTGTCTTTTAGTGATTCCTTAAGTGTTTCCGCTCTGTTTCCACTGTGTTTCTGCATTCTTCACTTTAACCTTCAAAATGAGTCTGAAAACCCTGTGCTGTTCTAATTAGGGCAAAGTCATCCATTTGGTACATTTTTTTCCTTTCTTCCAAATTTAAAACCATACACCAGCTATTGCATTTGTCATCTACTTTTTGAAAATGAAGGGCAAAAACCCAAACAAAACCCAAAAAAAAACCCCACCCCACCCCACCCCCCAAAAAAAACCAAACAAAACCAACCAACCAACCAAAAAAAACCACAAAACCAACCAAAACCAGCACTGCTTCAGTTTTGGAACATATTTAAAGAAATAGCAGAGTCTGTAAATACATACTTGTACTACTTAAGAATGTCTACAATCCAACTATTTCATACAGGAAGCAAAAATCATACCTATAATAAAAAAAAAAAAGAAAAGACTACCTTTCCATATTAATTCCTGCTCTTGAACCACTAGACAATATAGCAGCAAGAGCTATCTGTGAGGGACTGAAAAGCAGGTATGCATCCGTCAGAGCCACTCGACTGAGGAAGTCATCAGCTGTTTTCCTCAGAACTTCAGGATTCTCCAGCACTGGATAGCGAGTCTGAAAAGGAAGCATTCAGGAAAGTAAGTAGGTGTTCCTTGCCTCCTCTTTCATGAGCTCAGACCACACAATTCAACAGTACTTTGTAAAGCTAGAAAGTAGCAGACCATCTTCTTATGCCAAAAATAAAGTGCTTACAACCACAACTAAACCGACTTCCTCCCAGATATCTGCCTATCACTTTAGAAACTAAATGATTTACAATCACAGGCACAAAGAGAAATAAAGTTCTTTAACACAATCCATGACAGATTTGTATTAAGTCAGTATATTGGGGCATTTGGCACATAAAACAATACTACCTTTAGGTCGATTAGAAATCCCTCAAATGGCCTGTATGAATTGTGGACGATAAGATGGAAGTTCAGTTGCTGAATAAGCAGTAGCTCGTATTCCAGTATTTGTTCAAGAGCTTTTTCCTGTCCAGCAGGGCTTTCTCTAAGGTTACCAACAAACTGTGCGCTGGACACATTAAATTCATCCACTTTACAGGCCAAAAATGCACATGTCAGCCTTGAGGAGAGAAAAAAGGCAAAAAATTGACATATGTAGCATCCACCTTCTTATCAAGAGTCCTGTCCAGAAACTTTTTATCTTCAAAATACCGTATTCTAAACACAAAAAACTTCCAAATGGAAATTGGAAGTGACCATACTTTGCCTTTACTTGTATTTAAGCTCTCAGATGTCTTTTCTCTTTTTTTTTCATTTTTTCAGGTCTTTACAGATACAAAGATTATACTTCCAGTATTCTGCTTGACAAGATGCGTTGATAACTCACATTATTATCCGAGGATGATACTCCATCACCGAGTTATTGAGGTAAAAACGTTTGAAATACATGCAAGCTGTTCCCTAGATTCAAAAAACAAGGGAGGGAAAAGTAAGTATAGAAGCAAAAATAGATTAAGAAAAAAAGAAAAATAAATTAAAAACAAATCATGAAATAAAAGAGGCATGTTTGAATACATACTACAGACATACAGGATACACTAAGGCCATTTGAAAGTCTATTTATGCTCAAAAAGCCTGTAATATCTTTATGAGAAAAAAAGTGAAACTTAAACAAAATTTAAAAATCAAAGACTGAAAAAACTATTCTGAAAATTTTGAGTAGTCCCAGACAAGACATCTGACTTTTTAGATCAGTAAGTTTCCCAATGCGTTTAACAATTATGCTTCTCTGTGTGTCTACAAGTACTGCAGCGAATACCAAATTTCCATGCTTGTCTGAATGCCATCAGCATGAAAGCAGATGTTTTTGGTAACCATTACTTGGCAGGTCTTATCCAGCACATATACTCTAACAAGGGTGTCCTGGTTTCAGCTGTTAACAGTCGTTTTTTTCTCCTTCCTAAGTAGCTGGTGCAGTGCTGTGTTTTGGCTTTAATCTGAGAACAACACTAATAACACACTGATGTTTTACTTGCTGCTCAGTAATGTTTACTCCAACGAAGGACTTTTCAGTCTCATGCTCTACAGAGAGGAGGGGCACGAGAAGCCAGGAGGAAGCAGAGACAGGACACCTGACCCAAACTAGCCAAAGGGGTATTCCACCACAGCACGTCATGCCCAGTATATAAACTGGGGGGAGTCACCCAGAAGGTCATATCGCTGCTCAGGTCGGGCTGGGTATCAGTCAGCAGGTGGTGAGCAACTGTATTGTGTATCACTTGTGTTTATTTTTTTCTTTCCCTTTTAGTTTTATATTCTCTCCTCTCATTATTTCCCTTATATTACTAATAATAGTAGTGTTTTTGTATTATACCTTAGTTACTGGACTGTTCTTATCTCAACCCATGGGGTTTACATTCTTTTGATTCTCCTCCCCATCCTGCTGGAAGCCAGGGGGAAGAAAGGGAGGGAATAAGCGAGCGGTGACGTGGTTCCAAGTTATCGGCTGGGCTTAAACCACGGCAGTCCTTTATGGCACCCAGTGTGGGGCTCGAAGGGTTGAGATAACAACAGATCTCACCAGAGTGTGTCTAATCATATTTGAGATAAGCATTCAATGTTTCAGATTAATAGCCACTCATCACAATGTTGATTTATTGCCTCTGAGAGTTTCAGCATGTCGTACCTTACTTACAGCCAGTATTTGCTGGTTTAATGTTTATCAGCTCTGGCACCAGGGCTAAGGTTCTCATTTCATTGTACATTATGATAATGGCTTGTGATACAGTAGAATTATTGATCATGAAACTGATCTGGTATGCACTGTCAGCATGGCAATCACCTCTATACTTTGGGAGGCATGTAATTACACCTCTTTCTTTCGCCCCTTGGAGGGCCAAACTATGAAGGAGACATCCTCCCACACCTTCCACCCTCCCACCAGGCAGCACTTGAGAATTTTAAGGATTTTGAATATCTTTTGAGAACCAGCCTGCTCCTTTTGCTGGGAACCAGCATGTTGCTGCTTGTGGTTTAGGTCTTGTCTAAGATTAAATAATGATCTAAGCACACCACTAAGAGATCTTCCCCATGACTGGACAGTCATGACTTGCAGGATGTGTGGGATCCTATGAGCAAGCACCTAGGCCAGTGGCACCTTTGGAACATCACCCCTGAACAAGTGCAAAATCCAGAAAGACTAGTAAAACACTTTGAAAAAGCATGCTGTCATCCTGGCAATACCAGAGAGGCAAAACCACCACAACGTGCTTGGTCTATGCCTACAGAGCCCCACTCGACACTTTCCAATACCCTCAAGGGGAAATGGTCTCTGGATCTGACGGCAAAGCAACAGATACCTGACTACTCCATCCCTGACAATGAGCATAGCAGCTACTCCAACCCCAGCAACAAGCACAGGAGACAATCCAACAGAGCATGTAATGGCAGCCTACTGCTACCTTTCAAATGAGCCTTCAGACAAGACACTCTTCACCTCTGTTAATCACCATAGCTGCCAGAAAAAAACAGGACTGACAGGAGGCAATACAGATTATACATCATAATGGCTGGGTGACAAAAGCAGCATAACTTCCTTCCCTGCTTCAGCTATGAGTCTCCACTCTCTCCCTTCTGAAATGTGCTCAAGGTAAGTCATTCAAAGATATTTTCTCTTTCACTTTTCAACCTTCATAGATTAGTTTACTGCCAGTTGAGCTTGCTTTGTGGTCAGACAAGCACCAGTAGTGGAGAAACAACTGAGTGACTGTTAAACTTTGGGACTGCCTCCTTTAGCTACACCAAGGTCAGAAAACACTTAGAACTCATCCATCCAAGTATAACAGCCACCAGAAATGGATGAAGCTGAGAAACAAAAAAACCCCCATGTCCCTAAGAGACATGCTTTAGTGGTGCACTTGGCAGATCTGGGGTAAAGACTGCACTTGGTCTTAAAGGTCTTTTCCAACCTCGTTGATTCTATGATTCTGCAGGTAACACTGGTTTTGGAACGTCTGCACTGCCCTGAAAACAAAGCGAAAAAGCGGTCTGAAACACAGACTGCAGCAGTGGTAGACAAAAAAACCTGAAACATATCCGAAGAACAGACACACATACCACCACGGATCTCGGCATGTTGGGCTTGAAGACGGAGCAGAAGTCCAGCAGCCGCTTTTCGTAGTGCTTGCATATCGCCAGCTCCTCGTGGGGCTTCAGAAGCCGAGGGTCGTTCTGCGGGACCTTGAGGGGGAGCAAAGAGGAGTCTGCCTCAGGGGCTGCGCCTCTCCTCACCCCCCAGCTCCTCCCCTCAGAAGAGGCCGCAAGGCTGATGGCACCCCTCCCGCTGCCCTCTTCCTCTTCCCTCTCACCGCTCCCACTCCCACACCTTCCCAGTCGCCGCCGCCTTGCTGTGAAAGTTGCGGTTGGCCTCGTCCCGGCACCGCTCCAGCTCCTGCTCGCTGCGGAACGTCCAGTGCTTGCGCTGGGTGCTGCTGTGGTACATGGTGACGATGATGGCGATGGCGGCAGCGGCGCCCGCGCTTTACGGCATTCCGCCGTGTTCGGGGAGCTGCTGGGAGGTGTAGTTCGGCGGGAGGGCGGTGGGGGGAGGTGAGG